AGTTTAAAATATGGAGTGCAGAGCCAGAATTCAAATGCATAAGAGAGGTCCAGGAAGTAGGGTGACTTCCAGAGTAAATATGACTGTCCTAGAAGTAGCAAAGAAAAAACATTCAGTGCATTTTAACAACTGAACTGCAGGGTAACTCTATGCCCCTGGGAAAAAGAAATCTTTATTTTCTCATAAAAGAATAAAGAACACACATATTTTGAGAACCATAAATGCTGTAACTATGGAAAGGCCATCTGAACAACAAGATTATCTCCCCAGTACACTCTTCACTATTTTATTTGTTTCCTATTTTAAGTACCTCAGAAAATTAGGTTTCTATCACTCTCCTCAAAAATTTTCTATCAAACCATTAGACATTATGAGTATGTAGTAACCAATAATCTCCACCAACTAGTTTAAACTCCCCCGTCTGTCTGTGTCTTACTGGCATTTTTATAACCCAGTTTTTTCATTAGGACTATCTTACCGAACTAATATTTTTAAGAGTTTAAGTTTTTCCTGAGAAAACAGTAGCTGGCAGAGGCTTAGGGGTGAGTTAATTTCTGAAAATCCTAAGAAGAAACAAAATAATCGATGATGCCTCCTTTCACCATTTATTAATACCGAAATAAATAAGTATCTAAGAGAGATCCCTTTTCTTTCATGGACACCTTTGTAAGTAAGTGCATTTGGAGAATCTGAATATCCAGGGCTGCCTAAACATGCGGCCTGAGCACAGGGAGGACTAGTCAAAGATGTGCACTCTCTCTATCTCATACTCGCTCCACAAGAAACATGATCTTCTCACCAAGTTTGCTCTGAGGTGACATGTCACAGTAGCAAACACACAGGGTGAGAAGTAAAGGGCTTGTTCTTAGCTCTGCCAGGTTCCAGTGGTTTGACCATGGGCAAGCCCTCAGCATGCGGAGCCCCTGCTCTTTCATTCATGCAATGACCTGTGGCTAACTTCCCTTTCAGCCTCAGAGTTTTATAATGTACTCATACAAGAAACTAGAACTAAACAGTACTTGTCCTAAAGAGATGTTGGTATCAACAGTGACACGATGCATGTGTTTAACAGTAGAGAGGGGGGAATTTTTGAGATCTTGGAAAAATTAGGACAAACACTTCTTATGTATGAGAAAGAATAGTTGATAAGAGCATGGTCATGTTTTAATATTACTTCAAGCCCTGAGTTCTACATGTACATTCCATTGTAATGGAAAGATGAGCTAATTTAAAGAAGGTGGCTGAATGTAAATTCCTATTATTATGAGCTACGGTAATTCAAAACCAGAATAACAGAGTAACCAAAACCCCTAAGCAGCCCCAAACTTCTTTTATATGCAAATGCAAGCTCCTCTGCCAAACATGGTAAGTTAACAAACTTTCTTCTTTTCTGACTTCCTTTGAAACTGTGGAGTGATCAAAAGGCAGAAGGGGAAAGAAAAATGCAGAACTATGCTGTATATTTTATGATTAGGAAAGTGGATTTATATATTCTTCTCTTATGAGAGAGTGTTATGGTCAAATATATTATTTTTATTCCTGGAAGTCCAAGTCAATGGTTTGTGAACTTTTCTAAGAAGGTATTATATCTGTTTAAAATAGTATTGGCCTGGGAAATATAGCCCAATGGCAGAGCAGTTGCTAGCATATCTAGGGCCTGGGTTTGAGGCCCAGGATTGGAAAACAAAATTTAGTCTATAGGCTTGTCTTAGTTACTTTTCTCATTGCTGAGACAAAATATCCAACACCCAAAGTTAAAGGTGGAAGGTTTATGGTAGCTCATAGTTTATGCATGTCTCAGTTCATAGTTGGTTGGCTCTAAGGCAAGGTAGCATGGTAGAGGGGCATTGTAGAGGAGAAACAGTTCATGAAGGGCAGAAGGCAACAAAGCAGCAAAGAAGCAGCAACTGAAGAAAGAAGCTCTCTTTCTGTCCTTTATATTCTATCAAGGCTACACCCCTGTAGGGCAGCTGGAACTCATACCCAGGGTGGGGCTCCCATTATCTACACTCAGAACTATGCCAAATCAATCAGTGAACTAATTTAGTAATCACACACCCTTGATCCCAGCATCACACACTTAACACCGGGGTCATATAGCCTAGATCCAGCTACTTTTGAAAAGCCCCACCTATTACCATATGAGGTTGTGGGTTACATCTAGACCCAAGCCATGATAGCCCCCATATTTATTTATTTATTAATTAAGCAGATTTTACATGTACTACACATTCAATTGCACATTGTAAAATACATTAACAGGAGAGATAGATATGCTTAACCTGATTTAAATATTATACAATGTATGCATATATTGAAGCATTGTATGGTACCACACTAATATGTACCATATTATGTTTTATGTATTAATTAAAATAAAGAACAAAAATATTCTTAAATTTAAAAATATATACACAAAACTACTTAAAAATAGTTTAATCAGAATAAATTATATTTGTTCATATCTTGCTTTTTATTTTAAAGAGAAAAACGATAACAAAATAATAACAGCAAAGATAAAACAAAACAACACAAAAATAATAAAAATGATACATACTATCATTAGTTTACATCTCAAAGTACTATACTGAAGGCAAGTCTCTTTGTGAATAAAAATGATATGAATCCATATTTCAAATGTCTTCTTAATTATTCCAATGGGAAGGAGGAGTTGATTTCTTGTAAGACAAAGTTAGATAGATCATCAACGTTATTTACTCTCAGTATGAATAAAAATCCAGTTCCACCAATTTTTTTGTTGCTGTTTATGTTTGTATATTATTAGTGTCAACTTTTTCATAAAAGCATGTTTGAGCTACTTTTCCATTTTGTGACTCATGGTTTGGTTAAAATGAGGCAATAAAATTTTTAAATGAACAAATATAAACATCAATAAAATGCAGCATAATAAAAATGGAAGAAGAGTATGGCCCTGCACTATCTTCCATGCTATGGATCTCCCAACACTTCCTCCAGATACCACTGAAAGGGAGACAAAAGACCAGCTGACCCATGGAGAGGTGAGTACGCCATGTCAATCTGAACGCTTAGTGTTTACACACAAGTACTACCTTGTGGTAGTAACTGAAGCTGTTATCCAACATTTTGCTTGGACACTGGTGGGTCACGTCATGCGGTAGGCACACAACTGAATAAAAATTCTTCAGTGTGACAAGGAGGGACCTTTCATGGAGCGTGGCACATGATACCCCTCTCTGGAAGCATTTCCCATGATGACAATCACATGATGCTTTCTCTTGTAAGCATCAGCCATCCCATGACCTGAGGGATGAAGGCGAAAGTTGTGAACACACATCCTGAACTCTACTGTATTCTCAGGTTAAGATAAGATTGATTTTTTAAGGCCTCAGTTATTCTGGGAGGTGTTGCAAACTGCTGTGTATTGGTGAAGGTTACACGTTACAGTTTAGTTGTATGAGTGATCTTGAAATGGTTAGAGGTACTGGGTGAGAGGAGAGTGTAGCTGGCCTCCTTGTTTCTTTTATATCTCTGTGATCTAAGGGCTGCCGTTACAAAACACCAGAGCCTGGTGCCTTTATTTCTCACCATTCTGCAGGTTTGCAGCATGAGATCACCATGCTAGCCAAATCTGGTTCCTGATGAGCTTGCTCTTCCTGAATTGCAGGTGGTACCTTCTTCTCATTGTCCGCTCATGAGTCCTTCCTCAGACAGAGCAAGGGGGCTCTCTGGTGTCTCTTTTTATAAGAGCATTAATGCCTCTGGCTCAGGCCTTACCTTGATAATCTCATTCAACCTTAATTGTTCCCGCAAAGGCCCTAACTCCAAATATACTCACTTTTGGGGGTTAGGGCTTCAATCTAGGAGCCCTGGGAGCAGGCAAACATTCAGTCAACAACACACAGTCACACCCTGATACTCAGCACCTTTGAAACCCATCAAATTTGGTGCTTGATGCATTTTGATATGAAAAGTTTGTCCCATACTTGGCGTTTGTTTGGTACTTAACCAGAAAACTATCATTTCTCAGTGCCCGTGGCCCCATGACTCGCTACCCTTCCAGCCACAAACGTTTATTACTTTTTGTTTTGGTGCTAGTGGCTGTCTGGAAACAATGCGTGGCCAGTCCCAAGGTACTACCATAGTCTGTGTGCTTCCTGCTGTGGAACTGGCACCCTAGTCAAGGTGCCACTCTCATCCTCAAGGGGAACAGCAGGTAGTGTGTGTGTGTGTGTGTGTGTGTGTGTGTGTGTGCATGTGCAAATGACACACCATCTTGAAAGTATATTTTACTAGAAACAGAAGGAAACAGAGATACTGAAAAGAACTGAATTTGTTAGTGGCGGTTAGCGCTACAAAAACCCTTAGTCCTCGAGTGTCCCTTATGTCTTGTATAAACTCTAAGACAGAACCAGTTGTACCACCCCGAAGAGTTGTTGGGTCTTCTATACCATCGGTTCTTCGGCCAGCACACTCTTCTGTCAGTGGAGTTTTGCCCTTATTTAACATTCGTAGCCACACCACACGATTAATGTACTTCATAATTCTTAATGTTATTTCCACTAAACACACTCGATACCACCAGCCCCGCATTACTTAAGCTCAAGCACAAACAGTAAAACTGAAGAGCGAGGTCTCCAGTTTTCAAATCTTGTTTCCAACGACCGCAGACTGCCTCTCCTATAAACTTTTACACCAGCTGTGAAGATCTCTCCAAATTGATTCTGTCGCATCTTATTTTCACGCCTCCTCCCCGGCTCAGGAGAAATGCAGAAATGTGGAAAGGACGAAGTTGGGGAAGGGAGGCGGCGGGGCAGGCTCGGCCCAGCCCGTCTGGGTCCCCGAGGGTGAGCGGTTCAGAGACCACCGTTCTCACCGCCTCCCGCGGAGCTCGTCCCTATGTGTGTCTTTCTCATATTAATTTTTTCTTTAAAAGTTAAGTTCCCTAAGCCCCGCCCCGACATGCCAGGCGGGGGCTGGAAAGGGGGCCTGCAGGCCGGGTCCAGGAGGGTGGGGTCCCCTCGCGCCTCAGGACGCCGGCCCGGAGATCCCGCCCCCAGCCGCGGCCAGATCTCCCCTACCCGGTCTCCGCGCGGCCCCCGCTGGCCCCAAGGTGGGTGCTGGGGAAGCCGCCCTGGGGACCCGGGGCCCCGGAACCGGACCGAGGGCTGGCGAGGGCGGCGGACGGAGAGCAGGAGCTCCGCCTGCGGTTTCACCAGGAGGCGCTCCTGCCTCAGCCACCCGGCTGGCCAAAGCCGCGGCGCCGCCTCCAGGTAGCGGGGCGGGGGACCGGACGCGCGGGGGGTGGGCGCGGCGCTGGGGGCGCGGTCCGGACCCGGAGACCTGGCTCCATGGTGCGGGCCGGGCTGGCGAAGCGCGGGGTCGCAGTGAGGTGTCCTCGGGGACCCGGTGGCCGCTCCCGGGCTCCTCCCGCTGTCCCGCACCGCAGACGAGCGCGCGGCGCCCGGGGTCCCAGGGACACCCGCGATCACGGGGACACCTGCGGTTACGGGGACACCCGCGGTTATGGGTACACCCGCGATCACGGGGACACCCGCTATCACAGGGATGGCCGCGATTACAGGGAGACCCGCGGTCACGGTGACGCCCGAGGTCACAGGGAAACCCATGGTTATGGGGACACCGGCGATCACGGGGACACCCGCGGTTACGGGGACACCCTGCGGTCACGGGGACACCCGGGGTCACAGGGACACCCGCTGCCCCAGGGCCGCCCGCGGTTATGGGGTCCCCCGCGGCCAGCGTCCGGGAGGCGGCCCGCCCAGGGGGCAGAACCGTGTCAGGGAGGCCTGCGTTCTGCCCTAGGCGACGCGGAACGCTCCTCCCGGGTTTGTCAGCTCCGAAAGTCCCAGGCTGCAGAAATGTCTGGGTCGAGAAGAAGGCTGACTCCTGGAGGCTCCTTCGCCTGCTGTCCACACCTGGCATCAGGAGGGGCAGGATTACAGGACTTGTGGACAGTCTGAAGGAGTGTTTGAGGGAGCTTAGCTTCTTTGTTTTGTTTTCTTTTTCTAATTTGTGAGTTCTCAGGAAAAAAATATAAACTCTTTTGGTTTGAATTACATTTCACTTCAGATTTTCATGTACATGCATGTGTTTTAAGAGAACTAACGATACCTGCTGACATCAAATGAATCCGGCAGTAGGGACGTTGGAGTATAAAACTAAGTTCGCTGTACAGTCTTAGGAAAATCGACTGCTTCTTTTTGTCTTTGCTTGCGCTGTGTTACTGGGGAGTTTGTGCTGGGAAGCCTGTGCTCTCACATCACCCTGCAGCTGGCCCGGAATCCCCCTTCCAAGTGCCACCTGACCCGGGGCAGAACCTAGTGTGTTCCTGTTTGTCTGCGATGCCTCAGGTGTGTGCCAGGCCTCTTCTTGGGCCTCCAGGGTTGGTCTCTGATAACAAAGGTAGCACCCCTCTGGGAGCAGGGAGAAACGATGCCGATCTCCCCCACCGTAAAGCTTTCATGTGTTGGTAATTTAAAACCCAAAGCATTGTTTACCACCTGTCAGACTCACCGCAAAGTGTAGGGATTAACTAATAAAAGATTTGTAAAATGCTTCCTGCATCTGAAATTCCATAAATATGCTAAATAGTAATAATCCACCCATTGTTAAATTTATGTAGTTGCTTCTGCCCTGCATACAAGATGATTTAGATGCAGATCTCCTGTCAATTAAACAATGAGTTTGGAATAAAATAATGAGTTCAATTCACATCCTATGAAACTTTGAAACAAAGCTTCCCCCGTAAGGCAGCACTGGCAGAAAATCATAAAGTGAGCAACTTTCCGAAAAGCTGTATGTGGAATGACACTTACTTTCTGGCTAGGGAGAAAGGGACCCAGTGAACTTCTGAGACTACGAACCGTTCAGCTCTGATTCGTGTGTGCACAAGCCATTGGGGTGGGGGCAGTGGGAGGACCCCCAGGTTTGTGGGACAGTCTAATAGCTGTCAGCTTTAATCTATGAAATATGCCTCTTGGTATTTTAAGGCTGAAGTTGAGTCTGTGGTTTTGTTCCTAGACAATGAAGAAAATCTTCCTAGTTACTTGAATAAATTATTTATTCTCCCAATAGGATGGGGTTGGTTTTTAAAACCCCTTAATACCACTATTATTTTGATATCTTGCGGTTAATTGGGTTGTTCCCAGGCAATTGAGTGACATGTTCCCATAACATTTTTCTCTTAGTATGTTTTTAATAATAAAGTGTGTCGTTCTTCTGCACGCTGGTATCCTGGAGTACACGCTATTTCTGATATGCTAATTCTAAATACTGATGTGGATTGTCTTTCCTGATTTATGAAGACAACTCTAGATTTGCCACCAGCAGATGCAGCTGTGAGCAAAACCATGAAGTTGAGGATATGTTTACTTGCTCTTGTCCCATGTTAGTGGCCTCTCCTTCTCATCTCCTCCACTCAGATCTCTTGGATAGGTAGCTGCTACCTGAGCCCCAGCCCTGTATTCCAGAACTTCCTGTCTGCCACCACTCCTCCTTTATTCAGACAACTTGCCTTCTGCTGGACTTTGCCTTTTGTCTGGCCTTTCCAGCAGCTTGGTGTGGGTGAAAGTGCACTAGGTGAAAATCAAAAGAGCTGGCATTTATTGGGCACCATGCCACATTATCTCACTAAATCATTGTAACCATTTGATATGATAGATGTTGCCTCTTTTTTCACACAAAAGAAAACCGAGGCTCAGAGGAGCAGGTGAGCAGTTCCTGGAACAAGGCAGGCCAGCAGTTCAGCTGCACTGTGATATCTAACTAGGAAGACCTCACCTCTGGACTAACGTGTTGAGGAGTTCTCCCGTTAAGCAAGTTGACTTCAGGTGGGTCCCTTAAACTTCTGAGCCTCTTTCTCCTTTCTCCAATTTTGGATTAAGTTATCTCTTGGAGGTAGAAGGAACCTTTCAAGGACTTTGATTGCCAAGTACAAAACTATTTCTCCCATAAGATTCTAGAATATGCTGTCCCCTGCCTCCCAGCTTTCTCCACCCCCATTTATATTTCTTCCTGTAGATGTCAGTAAATCTTACCTTTTCCTGAGCACTCCTCTGTGATTCTCTATCTTGAACCTGAGTAATCCTTCATACCTCTGCTTACAAGTACAAGTTGTTTTACTTGTATCTCAGTTTATACATGCTTGGTTATCCTCTCCCCAATCAGTATAGGCTGCATGAGACCAGACCTCATGCTATTTGATTTTTTTCATTATTATATTCCTAGGGCTCAGAACAGTACAAATAGCACATTGTTGACCAATAAGTGACTTTGATGAGTAGTTATCTATCATAAGGGATCTGTGTGAATGGCCAGTATATTGTCCCTTCCTTGGAATGACCTACATGAAGCATCATTGATCTTCCACTGTTAGAGAGAGTGAGCTTAAATTATGAATGTCATTGTTTTTGAGATCCAAGTATAGGGACAGAGACAGCGGGGCTGTCGCCAAGAGAACAGAACAAATGGATGTGCCACACATGTACCAACCCCTACATTTTACAGCAGTAGAAACTGAGTCTCAGAATAATAGAAACTCAGGTCTGGAAGATACCTATTAAAAGATTCCTTGATGTTATTTGCCATTGTTTTATTGATGAGAAAATTCCAGCCCCTCAAAATATAGCCCCAAAATAGTGAACTTAAGCCCTCTGACTTACAGAATAAGTTCTACTGAGAGGCCAAAATTTGGGGTACCACCCAGCCAACAGTCATAGGGAACTTTGAACATTGGTACCCTAGTCCTCAAACCCCAAGAACCTGAGGCTGTCTGGACCCATTCTGGGTAAGGGGATTAGAGCATTCTACTGTAGTCTATTTTTTTCTGTCCTATATAAACTTCAGTGACTCATCCACTATATTAATGACCCTTCAACCAGCATTTTAATACCAATCATTAATTTACCAATTCTCTTTAAATGCTTGAGAGCTCCAAAAGAAAAAATGTACAGTGCTGAGCATTTAGCGCTACTGTGAGAGATTCAAGATACATTTGAATATAAGATGATTGATATGTTGAACTCCAAAAGAGAGGTGTATTGTTAAGGACTAAAATGACAGTTTAGCTCCTTTAACTTTTAGAACATTCTTTTCTAGAGTGTTACATCCATAAACAAAAGTCAGGTGAAAGGCTTTTTCAAAACCTGGATTGTTTGAAGCCATTCCGCACGGTTCTGATTGAACAGATCTAGGATTGCTCTCCGATAACTAACTGCATTTTTAACAGACACCTTTGGTGACCTTTCAGTAAAACGGCCTGAAGATCTGCTTTTGAAGTCCAATAATAATTTTGGTATATTTTTAATTTTCCAGGATTCCACCTAAAAGAATTTTAAAGAAAAGAAGCCAGGTGTGGTGGTGCATGACTATAATCCCAACTACTTTAGAGGCTGAAGCTAGAAGACCCCGAGTTTGAATTCAGCCTTGGCAATTTAGAGAAACTTGTTTCAAAAATTTAAAAATGGGCTGAGTCCATAGCTTAGATGTAGAACATCCTTGGGTTCAATCCCCAGTACTGCAAAGAAAAAAAAGAGAGAAGTTTAGTGTGTCTGAATTTAGCAAACAGAAGATAACATTGTCTTACTAGATGTAATAGGATCATTTTTTTTACTAAAGACCATGTGTATAGTATATGGGCATGTGTATGTGTGTATAGGCTCATCTGTGCATATATACAGCGTGATGTATGACTTGCTTTGATACTGATCCCAAATAGACAGTGTTCTACATCATTCCTGTTGGACTACATGATAAGGTCAATAATTAGCAATAAGAGTTGACTGTTAAGTTCTGTGAAGAAATAATTAATTCCCTTGCCCTCCAAAGTTTCAGATCAAGTAAAAATGCCCAGTTAAATTTGAATTTTAAAGGTACAGAAAGTCATGCTTTAGTGTAAGTACCTCTCCTATACTATTTCTTTTGCTAAACCTGGCAACCCCGCTCAGAAAATACCAGTATTTAATGCCATTAGTTCCCAGAATTGGGAGATTGCTGAGTGGATGTCAACTCTGAGAAACTGAGAAGGGCTGGGGACTGCTCCTGGGGAAAGTGCCCGGCGTCCTGTTCCAGGCCACTCTCGCACCCCCCTGT